ATTATTCATTATACGAATAAATATTATAAAGCTTTGACGGAGCTCTCTTGTGAACAAAATGAAAGGAAACTATGCTGTGGATATCCGTAACTGGGGACGCCTCCAGCACTTAGCTCTGGACTGTGGAATGTTTCCACATAAGATCTATATCTAGATCTAGATTTGGTTCTATATAAATTGTTCTTCAGTCATTTTTTAACAGCTTTAATCGACTTGAGATAGTGGTAAAGAAGCTATTTAGGACTGACTTTTTCCAATGCAGTAGTACCACTAGGACTATGCCTGTCTAGTTCACCACCCGTTTCCCCCCTAACATATTCCCTCTGTCATCCTGCGTCAACAAAACGCTAACAGGTTTGTAAAGTAAACTTGACGTGAGCGAATGACTGGCTTAAGCTAGATATAGATCATTTTAGTAGTTACTGTGACCTCTTTCCATTTGTTATAAGTGCTTTATAGTATTTCCCTCGGACATTCAGTAGGCCTACTGCGCGCTGAGCTGGGCAGATCGATCTTGGCAGTTTAACTTTATGCAACAACATTGAACCAAAAAACCCACAGCTTTATATTTATTTAATTTTGATTTTCATAATCAGTATCACTTTTTCTGACCCTGTGCTGCGGTATAAGACTCCAACAAGAGATCTTCATGTATTTCTGTCCTGGATATTCACGTATCCGTGCACCTTAAATTTGTTCAGCTGTTATATAATCATGTCATTGTTGTTACTTTGAACATAAAACAATGTTTAACACTACTAACCTTCTGTCTGCCTGTGCCTACAACAGGAGTTAGCCAAACCTGTTTCTCTCTGTGTTGTCATCCTTTCCTCAGCTTTGGGGCCCCGATGCGTTGGAATCTCACACGTTACACACAAATAAACCTCAGGCTCTAACTAGCCTTTTATCCACCTATACTCTCAGCAGGCATCCTCTGCCTTGCTACAGCTCTCCCCTCTAAAGTCTCACCTGTAGTAACCCAGACTGCTTTTATAAACTTGCAAACAATACGACTGAACTGAGACTCACACTTTACTCATCTCACACTTTCAGCCAAACAATACAATAGGCTGGGCCTAACCCCTTGCCACAACCAAAAACAACCAAATAGACTACAGTTATCCCATCTTCTTTAGGTCTGAATCTAAGTCTCTCCTCCAAGTACTTATTGGGTATTACTCTTTTTCTCTTTTGCTTTGCATCTTTCAGCTTAATATGTAATGCTTTTTTTCAATGTTCTCTAGATGTACCCAGTCCGCTTCCTTTTTCGTGCTGAGTTCTATTTCTATATTTCTATTGATTTGTTTGCTGTCCTTACCATTGTTGTTCATATTGTAATTGTCAGTCCAGTGAATTTCAAAACAAAAAAGCTACATATTTTAGAAGTTTGTTTTCGAAGTTTCCATGTTTTAGATCCATAGAATTGTTCATTTTTGATACTAGGGTTGAAAATCTTTTCCTTGGATCTATGTACCTATGCAATTCTTGAGTTCCACATTTTTCTTAATTTTATGAAAGCACTTCTTGCCTTGTCTTGTCTATTTACATCTGCATCTGTTCCCCCTATTTTTTCCATGATGCTTTTTAAATAATGATAGGAATCAATAGCCTACCACTTTGCTGATGGTAATCTGATCATTAATGGTGGCGTTGATCCTTGTAGTATCTTAAGGTCTTGAGGACTTTTATTGCTGATTATGTGTGATGTGTAGGTTTAACTTTTCTTATTTCTCAAATGAGGAAGCCTGTTTGTTTTAAAACAGTTTATCTTTTGAGTCGTTTTATGTAGATAGTAAAGGGAAAAAAAAGGCACTATATTTGCCGAGCTGCCCTTTCCGCCAATTATGTAGGTCTTTCATTGCTCTCTCTCACACACCCACACACACACACACACACACACCCACA